ATTTACATATTAAGACTTTGAATCTCATCTTTTGTTGTGTTACCCTTAAGACAATTATTTTCTCAAAATTAAGACACTTAAAAATACAGGAAAAAAGGTTTCCATAAAATCTTTAGATATGAACTAAGATCCTACTTCTCAATCTCAATACTAACATCCAAAAAAGAACAGTAATTTTCAAAACTATTCTTTATTATACTATGGAATATATACAGTACACAGAATATACTATAATTTTTTCTGTGGGAACTAATCAGTATTTTTTTTAAAAGGGGTATCTTCAACAATACAATTTTGTTATTTAGACAATTTTTCCAACTTCCTAGCGAGAAAAGTTATGTGATTTGCTGAAGAACCCAATTTTAAGAACTGGGACATCAAGTTCTGTAATTTCCAACAATGGGCATGGAGTGCTAAAGATATGATGTTAGTTAGAAATGTTTTAATGATCCTCACTGCAGCTCCTAACTTCTGGTTGCCCTGGACACCTCAACATCGTTGGACTCATGGAACTTCACTCCTAATCTAACACAATTCACCTTCAACAGACCGCCAGCCAGAAAAGAGGCTGAAGTCCTACATCCTCTAGGGCTCTGCCCCAATACTCTTTAAAGTCCCAAACCTTAAATACTAAGTTTTGGATTCAATGTCTTTATCCAAGAACTTGCTTCTTGATTCATCACCTCTGAACAATGTGTAGGTCCTTCTGTTCTGTGCATGTACTCAAGTCTTAGGTTGATTGTGGGACCCTTTAAAAGAGAGCAGTGTGTTTTAAACAGTCTTTTCCCAGTTTTCATTATTAAATTGGATTATTTGATAATCACCGGAAAGATATTACTTAGAGAATTTGTAATATTTGATCTTGCTACTTCTACAACATTTAGTACACAAAAGTATTCAAGACACTAGTGGTAGGCTCAGGATTTCCCCTCTAAGGCCAGCCACAAATATAAATGTACTCATAAAGACACTGTAACACAAACTTTCTTTAAAAGTTTCACATGTTTAAATATCACAGGATTTAAAAATTATCTCCAAAGTACAGTTGCATGAAAAAATTACCTACATTGTACCTCAACAAAAATAAGGCCAACACTAATTTATAATGTATCTTTCAATCACTTCATCCACCTTTCAGGTTTCCAGAGATGAGACAACTGACCAGCGTTCACAGCGGTACCATTTCCAAGAGAAGACTATTTTCATTACCCGTTTTACAAATAAAATATTAAGGGTGAGGCTCTGGTATTTCATTTCAAACAGTAATGGCTTATTTTTCCAACCATGAAAATGTTTACATTCTACGTAAGAATCCCAGCGATGGTCGTCTTAAGTACAGATCCCCAAATTCTTACACGCCTTCAGCTTGAACGTATTTCAACCAGTTCCCATAATTACTACAATATTACTATTATCTTAGTCTCACTGCCAAAAACCCAGCTGCAGGCTAACTATGCAAGAATGAGACACTGTTGAAATGACTCAAAAAAAATTTCTTTTTATCCTTAGTGCATTAAGCTAAATCCTGCAATTAAATAAAACCAAGCAACACATACACACACACAC